TCTTTTCATTGAAATGAATTTTTTTAAGTAAAATTCTTTCCATTAAAATGAAATTCTTTTCATTGAGTAAAATTCTTTCCATTGAAAGAATTTGGTTTGGAGTGTTCTGCTCTCACTCCTTCAGATGTTTCAAGAATTTTTCTCTTGGACGCTCCTTAGAAAGTAGAGCCATGAGAGCGGGCAGGACTCAAGATGTCCTGCCATGCTCCTCTTTGTGGTGACCGCTTCTGAAACTTTAGTGTAGGAATTTACTGCTCAGCATCTCTGGGAGGTGGGTGTGATGTCTGGTCTATCTTGGCATATCTCTAAGAAATTCTATGGTGTTAATTCCTTTTCAGCCATTGTTTCCTTGCTCTGTCAGTTTACTCACAAGATTAGCTTTAGAAACCTATGTTTTCACCTCTACGTCAATTATGAGCTTTTTCTACTTGAGTATATTTAACAGATGCTGTAGACTTAGAAACTTATTCCCACATAGAAAATCTTAATAATATTGTTGCTCATTTGACATATATATTATATAGCTCTGCAAAACATTTTAAGAAATTGCCAGAATAACTATTTCAGTATGCAAAACTATCTTCAAATGTGTAAGTGGTTTATACTCTTCATCCTTTGCTCTCTCTGTGCCTTGTTTTCTATGTTTGCTCTCTCTGTGCCTTGTTATCTCTGACCATGTTTTCTATGTGTGTGACTCTGTGATCCCTGGCTCCTATTTGACCCCTCAGTCCCCTACCTGAGTGAATGGAGTGTAGAGCCAGGAGTAAGCCCTGGGCACTGGCCATCTCTCTCTCAATAGAATCCCCCCACACCCTTTAAAAAAAAAAAGCAGACCTTCAGCAGGGTCATTTGGTCATGCTGTGGGGAACTAGCATGAAGGCCCAGGAGGTGGCACATGCCCACATGTTATGCATGTAGAAGCTTAGGGTCTTTTCCCAGCATCACATGCTCCCCAGGCACTGCCAGGAGCAATCATGAGTACCACAGGGTATGACCCCAAAACAAACAAAAACTCCTAGGAATTGTATTAAAAGAGTAAGTGAGTGGGCTGAGGGCATGCCCTGTCTTAAGTTGACCCGGAGACTGGAAGGGGCTTTGAATCTGAGGCCCATGTGGACAGAAAGGTGTGTTTGTCTCAGGAGCTTGGTAAGAGTTCGCCCAGAAGAATCACTCTGAGATGGGCACAAGTGTGGTGAGATTCCTGCATCTCTTAGAGTAGGTGTTTATTCATTCTCTGGTGACTGAAGGATGCCACTCCACTCCCGGAAAGGGGGTCGGGGATTGAAAGATTCCACATCCTTCCCTCAGTGTGACCATTGACCTTTAAGGGATTTTTCCCCCTTGGGATTTCTAGATGTATAGTGTTTTGGAAATCTCTTTGACCGTAGCTCTCCTGTCCTTCTGGTTCCTCGGGCCATTTCCAATTTGCAGTATCCTCTAGTTCCTCTATATGCAGATGCCCAGACTCTATAGGACTATGCAAGAAATGCAGATAAAGAATCTCCTTTTCGAGGCTGGCAGTGATCTCCTAGGTGAAAGCCCTACTCTAGTAAAATAGGAAGTGTGAAGTTGGATCCCAGGATAGTTTCCTGGAAGCATGATCCTGGGTTCCCTAGTAGAGGAGAGGAGAAAGGGAGAAAGAAAAATGTGACAATTTTTAACACAGCGGTAGGGCGTTTGCCTTGCAAGCAGCCAGCCAGGCCGACCTGCGTTCGATTCCTCTGCCCCTCTTGGAGAGCCCGGCAAGCTACTGAGAGTATCTCCCCTGCACGGCAAAGCCTGGCAAGCTACCTGTGACGTATTCGATATGCCAAAACACAGTAACAATTGTCACAATGGAGATGTTACTGGGCCCTCTGAAGCAAATCGATGAACAACAGGAGGACAGTGACAGTGACTATTAGAAAGTACTATTAGAAAGTATTATTAGAGATTAGTGAATTCTTCTGAATCTTTAATGTTAATGTAGCCTCCCTCTCCCCCTCTGTGCACTCCCTCTCCCTCTCTCCCTCCTCCACTCTCGCACGTGTATGTTTTTTGAGGTGTTTGCCTTCAGGTGCATGTTCAGAAGTGCAGGCACATATTTAAAAAGCATAATTTTAATAGGTTGAGAGAAAATAATTTTGTAGCCCCTTTACCTGCCTCTTTTCTCTTAACCTTTACTTAGTTCTGTGTGAACTAAACTGAAACATTTTCAAGGCCACTGCCAGGGTGCTTGTCTGACAGTTGAGGGATTGGCACTTTATAGCCCATCGGTGCTCGTTATTCCCAAGGGGAGGTTTACTTGATTGAAAAACGTGTCTTCCCGCTCTCAAACACAGGGTTCTTCAGTGTGCATTTTACATGGCTTCTCACCCAGGCCTAGCTGTGACTGTCAAATATGGACATTGTAATAAACTTTAAAAGTCTGTATGTGAACTTTACACCCTATTAGTTTATAGATGAGATGAACTGGCAAAATTTCAACATTACTGTACCTTTCCCGAAAAATGAAAGAGAGGTTTCTGGTGACTGATCTCATAAAATGTTATAGCGGAAATTTTCCACATCTCTTTGCTCATTAGGAGTCATTAACGCTAAATGTGTACCGACATTAAAGCCCACTCATTAATTTTTTTACAGGATCCTTTCTTAGCAGGGCCTCAGTCTCCACAGCTGAACTAATATGCAGTCTCGTTTTAGAGGCAGATCTTTTCTTCTTTCTCAGATTTTTTTTAATATAAAAGAGAAAGATAAAGTAAGGTCCAGGGGAAAGAAACATGTGTATACCATTTACATTGGGTTGAAAAGCACTAGCTGGTTCTTCTTAGATGATGAATACTATTGGCAAGCTCTATATAAAACTAAATGTTTTAAAAACAGTGATACTAGAATTATTTTAGAATGTTTATTTTGTATTATTATAGATTAGGTTGGGCTGGAGCGATAGCACTGCAGGTAGGGCATTTGCCTTGCACACAGCCGACCCCAGTTTGATTCCTCCATCCCTCTGCGAGAGCCTAGCAAGCTACCGAGATTATCCCACCCGCACAGCAGAGCCTGGCAAGCTCCCCGTGGCATATTCGATATGCCAAAAACAGTAACAAGTCTCACAATGGAGACGTTACTGGTGCCCACTCAAGCAAATCGATGAACAACGGTGGGACAGTGCTACAGTGCTATAGATTAGGTTGTGTGTTTTCAGTCGCATTGACATTTATGATCTTGGTAAAGCATCTTTAATGATTTGATCCCATTGAAAAAGAGCTCAAAGTATAAAAATAAGCAAATGGATCTATATCAAATCAAATTGTTTGAACATAGTAAAATAAACTCAGACAAAACAAAAATGGCACCATAAATTGGGAGAGAATATTTGCACCCATCAGATAAGAGTCTAATACCGAACTCTATAAAGCACTTACAGAACTTGGTAACAAAGAAACTAGCAACCCCATCAAGAAATGAAGGAATGGAGGGGCCAGATTGATGATTATCCCTTAATCCCTTACAGGAGTGATTGGAGTGTAGAGCCAGGAGTAAGCCCTGAGCACTGCCAGGTGTGCACTCCGCCCCCCTGCCCCCATAGAATCCCCCCACACCCTTTAAAAAAAGCAGACCTTCAGCAGGATCATTTGGGCATGCTTTGGGGAACTAGCATGAAGACCCAGGAGAATGCACATGCCCACATGCTATGCATGTAGAAGCTTAGAGTCTTTCCCCCGCATCACATGCTCCCCAAGCACTGCCAGGAGCAATCACGAGTACCACAGGGTGTAACCCCAAAGCAAACAAAAATTCCTGTGAATTGTATTAGAAGAGTGAGTGGGCTGAGGGCATGCCATGACTTAGGTTGACCAGGAGGCTTGAAGGGGCTTTGAATCTGAGGATTTCCAGTTCATAGATCATTGAACTGCCCCTAGGGAAACAGAGAAGAGTTTTGTTATTTTAGGAGTTTGGTCACTGCAGACTATCTTTATTGGACACACCCTTTTTAAGCTGACTTTTGAAGCATAATATATAGAAGAGACAGCATATCCTAAGTGCACAGTTAAGTAAATTTTCACAAACAGGACACAGCATTGTGTATCCAGCATTTGGATTAGAAATCAACAATGACTGTCTTTGAGAAGCCCTCTACTTGTAGGACAAGTAGTATAATGTGTGTATATGTTGATTAGTCATCCAAAAATTATAATTACCAGTCTCACGGTAGCAGTTCATATGTGCTCTGTCTGAGTAGAATATTAAAACATACCAAGCATTCTGTCATACTTTGTTTCACTCTAAAAGGAATCCTCAAATTTAAATAAAGAGCTTTTAGGTTGTTCTTATTATATTCCTTTAAGTGGGGGTTGTTTTTTTTTTTTTGTGACTGTAATTCCCACTGGATGACAAGATCCGTGTCCTTGGTTCCCTTGGGGGTATGATACTCATCAGTTTGCTTTTCTCTTTTCCCAGTTTAAAACACTTTGAAAGCTCCCAGACTTATTTGGTCTACCACCTCTGGTGTGTGTGTGTGGGGGGGGGGGGGGGTGGGAATCACTCATGACCCTCCTGAAAATCTTACCTCCTTTAAGCAAACAAACAAGCAGAAAGTAACCCCCAGTTGCATGAGGCTCCTGCCACCCTAGGTCCTTGTAATGCCCACCTCCAACTTGCTTGGATGAGGGATGGTCTCCCTGACCTTGGGAAGTACTATTCTGAGAGGTGGAAATAAGTCTTGGGATTTTCTAGGAATCTTTTGCTTTTTCTCCTGTGTATAGTTGAGATATAGATCATTGACTATCATTTTAGCCAACACTGAGCTTTATGATACAGCTCTGCCAATATCCCAAATACATAGCATCTCGAACTTTAAGTATTTTATCTCTAAAATGATCGGTTGTTAATTAAAATACAAATGAATATATCAGTTTGCTTTTTCTGTGGTACTCAGAAAAACAAATGCAGTTATAAATTTTCTCTTTATATCTGGCCCAGGTTTTAAACATCTGTTTTTCCTCATTTTTCTCTTACAGGCTCTAGACCAAGATAGAACAGCCTTACAGAAAGTGAAAAAGTCTGTAAAAGCAATATATAATTCCGGTCAAGGTAAGTACTTACCGAAGTATGAATTATATATAATAAAATGGATCAAATGATGGACTGTAAGGTTTTCTTTGTTATTTATCAGATGCTAAGTTTATAGTAGACTTCATACAAATAAAAAAAATAAGCAGGTTAAAGAAATTTAGTTGTTCAGGGCTGGAGTGATAGTACAGCAGGTAGGGCAAAGAAATTTGGTAACATAAAATGAGTCTCAAGGTCTCTAACAGTGTTCGTTGCCGTAGCTGCTCCCTCATTCAAAGGTGAAGCCTTTAAGAAATAAGTTCTCTATTGCTTAGCAGAAAACTCGGGAGGAAAGGGCTCTGGAACATCATGCAAATAAACAGATTTTGAAGTTGAACCGGTGAGGTTTGCATCCCTGATCTTACTCTTTTTTTTTTTTCGAAAAAATTTTTAATTTTATTTTTATAAAATAGTTCACAGTCCTGGTAGAGCTTGGGATGCTAGGGTTTGTAGCCAGTTTGGTAGTATGCAAGGCAAGTACCACACCTACTGTACTCTCTATCCAGTCTTTAATGCTGTAATTTTATGACACGTCACCCCAAGCTCTACCAGGACAAAGCACTGAGCACCACCAAGTGTGGCCCAAAAAGAAAATAAATAAATTGAAAGGAATGCTAACCAGGTAACAAGAAGTCTCACACTGGAGACGTTACTGGGCCCACTCGAGCAAATTAATGAACAACGGGAGGAGGGAGGAGAGTGACAGTGACTAAACAAGGCAAAATTCAACATGCATATGATGTGTGGGCCTCCCTCTCCTTATCATAGCAAGGAATCGATAGTCTCAGCTAACTGGAAACCTAATAGTCTTTTATCTTCATTACAGCCTCTAGACCTAAGACACTCTATAATCTTAATTGTTAATATATTTTGTACCCTGGTTATGTGATAACTTTATCTGATTTCTTTATATCCAGTGAAACACTAACTCTTATTCAGATAAATAAGTTATAGTTGTCAGTTATATAATGACCAAAATGTTGGTTTGTTTTGGTCTAAATTATATACATAATTTGTAATGTTTCTAAGTTTTTATTTTAATAAGTTTCCATATACTGGTGGGATCTTCCTTGATTTGGGGGAGATAATTACATAGTTAAGTCTACTTTTTTTGTGAGAGCAGTGGCATTACATTATTATAATGTCAGGTGGTATAGATCTGAATTTAAATCCTAGCTCTGTCATTACTTGTTAATATTGAACAAATCAATTTAACTTCTGTGAATCTTCAGTTTCCATAAAATGAGAAAATATTTAATTGACAAAATATTGCTTGGACAAAATGAGGAGTAGTATTTAAGTCTCTGACTACATCACTTGCTACAATAATACGTGCATAACAGACAAGGCAGCTAAAAAAGTAGCGTAGGTGCCTTAGCTTATTAATTTATTAATTTAGCATTAATTTAGCCATTCTACAAAAGAGCCATTCTGTAACACCAAACCAGCCTGTATTTACAAAAAGCTGAGTGAGCCATTACCTGCCTAAGGAGTAAATGTCAGCTCTCCGTAATATTATGATTTATTCTTGAGACACACAGTGCGTGAGCCACCAGAAGGTGTTCTCTGATTTGCAACTATGAGGTACTGCCACACAGACATTGCTGGTGGTTGCATGTGACTCCTTCTCTTCCTGACTGTTCTTGCTCAAGATATTTCCTCTCTTGGCCACAATGAGCTCATCACTCAGCAACTTCCACAGTGGTTTTTCTACTGGATGGGGATATGTTGTAATTCATCAAAGGTCTCCTTGGTCACAAGCATGTCCTGGGTATGGCAAGAGGGAGAGATTGTCCAGACAGGTGTGTAAGGTAGGGAAGTTCAGGGGTTAGGCACAGTTTTATTGCTATTTCCTCCACCAGATTACATTTTTCCTATGAAATGAGATTATAATGAAATGAGTTTTGAACCCCCTTGTCTGGGCTAGGAGTTTTGCTTTGTACTTTACTGTGCATATATATTATTAATAGAATTGTTTCTAGCTATGTATTTGTTTTTTAATCTAAATTAGTTAAAATCGATTAAAATTTGAATCCTCAGTATCTGTAGGCACGTTTTGAATGCTTAACAGCACCATAAACTTGTGGCCACAATATTGAATCATGCAGAAACAGCATTTCTATCATTTCAGAAAGTACTTTTGCTGCTTAAAAAAAAACTTAAAACCTTTTGAAACCAGTAAACTCTCAAATAATGTAGTCAGTAGGTTTTTGGAGACTGACTTTGAGTTGACCACTCTCTTTTGCATTAGACCACTGGGTTTCAACCCTGGCTATTCATTGAAATTACATTTTTGAAAAGACAAGTTATGGGGCCCAAGAGATATTGGATATGACACTTGCCATGCAAGCGGTTAATCTAAGTTGGATTCCTGGCACCACATATGGTCCTTCATGCCCCACCAGTACTGACCCTTGAGTAAAGGGCTTGAAGAATAAACCCTTGTTGTTGCCACCAAACTAAATAATAATAATAATAATAAAACATAAGACGAAAGGCTTGGAGCAATAGCACAGCAGGTAAGGCGTGTGCCTTGCACACAGCCAACATGGCTGACCCGAGTTCCATTCCTTTGCCCCTCTCAGAGAGCCCGGCAAGCTACCTAGAGTATCTCGCCCGCACGGCAGAGCCTGGCAAGCTTCCCGTGACGTATTCGATATGCCAAACACAGTAACAACAAAGTCTCCAATGGAGACATTACTGGGCCCACTCGAGCAAAATCGATGAACAACGGGAGGACAGTGACAGTGACAAGAATAGAGATCCCTGCTATCCTGCTGCACAACAAGTTCACAGGAGTTGTTCCAGAGTGGGCCTTTGTATATGGGATTAAGATAAAAATTACTTCCCATGTGGTTTTAATGTGTAGTTTACAGTGGTAATTGCTGGGGTTGGAGAGACAGTGCAGCAGGTAGGCTACTTGCCTTGCATGCAGCTGACCCAGATTTGATCCCTGCCACCCTGTGTCAGTTCCCCCAAACCCCACCACGAGTGATCTTTGAACACAGAGCCAGGAGTAAGCTCTTGAATACTGCTGGATGTGGTCCAAAAGCAAACCCGAAAAAAAGTAATTGCTTGTCTGACCTATGGATCTGATAAAGGCAGTTAAGGAATCTTTCATTTTGTTCTTTGTTCATCTTTCATTTTGTTCTTTGTTCATCTGCACGGGCTGGAGCAATAGCACAGCAGTAGGACGTTAGCCTTACAAGCGGCCCACATGGCCCACCCGAATTCGATTACTCTGCCCCTCTCGGAGAGCCCGGCAAGCTACCGAGAGTGTCTCGCCCGCACGGCAGAGCCTGGCAAGCTCCCCGTGATGTATTCAATATGCCAAACACAGTAACAACAAGTCTCCTGATGGAGACGTTACTGGGCCCACTTGAGCAAATCGATGAACAATGGGAGGACCGTGACTATTCATCTGCATAGCTTATTTGTTCTCAGATGTTGAACGTATATTAGGTGCTACTATTTGGAGTGTTGTGTATATTGGACAAACCGGACACATTCTTTATCGTTACAAGTTTTACTATCTAGAACAGACATAGATATTAATTATCTAAATAAAGTATTAATAGACCATCAAAATTATGAATATTTGGAACTGGGAATTACCATAAAGAAAGTGCTATAAAGGACTAACAGAAAACTTATGGCCTACAAAAAGGAAAATAGCAAGAAATCTGAATTGGTTTCAGGAGGCTACCAACAAGGGAAGGCCTCAGAGTACATGACATTCATGGGCGTTTATGCAATGCCAAACTATGCTACACAAACCTAAGGAGTAGAGCTTTCCTTACCACTTTATAGATGAGGGATCTAAAGTTTAAAGAGACAGACCCAGCAAGTAATGTGACAGGAGTCTGGTTGACTCCAGCTTTGCTGTCTATAGCTCTTCAAATCTATTGGAAGCTGGGCCCAACAAATGCAGAGTTAATTGCTGCATATTGCCACGTGAATCTTTGGGAGTGCTATGAATGACTGTTATATATTCAACTCATCATGACTACTCGTGAAAATGCCATTAGATGTAATTTCCAAGCTGTGTAATCCAAGGGAGTGACTTTGGTGGATCATGATGGGGCTAGTAGTAATTTCCATTCCTATGATTTGGAAATATAGGAATTAACTCAGCTCTCATAGACTTCTGGGGCCTCCTGGGGTTTCTGCAGTCACCAATGAGTATTGCACACCCAGGTTCAGGGCCAGCGTGTGTGGGCAGTACTGTGACATTTAAGTCTTAAAAAAATAGCCAGATGAGTAAAACAGTGATGTTGCATATCTTTCCATGATACATGCTCAGTGGAATCCAAACTGACCATTCAAGTGCCTTTGGCCTCTTCCAAAGAAGCCACAAGAGGCCAAACCTTGGTATCTGTTTCCCAATGTGTTTTTATAATTTTCTTGTTTTCTCAACAGGGCTTAAGTGACACCAAGCCCATCTGCTATTTTTCAAGGTTTAAAAGTATTTCTTTTTTTTCTGTTTTGACATTACCAACCAACCACCAGAGTGATTTGAAAGATGACTGATATGGAATCATGCTTTCAAAATACATTATGTTGCACATAGGTTTTGGTTTGTTTGTTTTTTTTTAATGTAGGAGTACTGCTATTTATTCGGCCATTGATTCAGCTGATTGAATTGGGCATGAACTCCACATTACTTTTTTTTTAATTGAATCACCATGAGATACAGTTACAAAGCCTTCATGTTTGAGATTCAGCCATACAATTCAGCCAACTCTCCACCAGTGCACACTTTCCATCACCAATGTTCCCAGTATCTCCACCCTGCCCCCCCATCCAAATCCTCCATGGTAGGCTGTTTCCCCAATGCTCTCTACTTTGGGGCATTATGTTTTGCTCGATTTTCCCACCGCCATTCAAGCTTGCCTACCAGGGGCAGATGCTAGATCATTTATTGTCCATTGCTCATTTTTAATATCTTGGATGCTGCAGCCGTGCACTTCTGGAGTCTTAGA